TAGATTAAGATTAGATACGACCGATTGTCGACAGTCTAACTCCAGATATGCAAAACATGAAACAAAATGGCCACCAAATTACAAAATGGATGCCAGTCTCATTTCCAGACCAAAAATGGCCAGCAGTCGGCCATCTTTGATAAAATCACAAAATCAATGCATGTTCATTTGTCTAAGATAAAGTACTAGCTATGTGTGAAAATTGAAGAGAATCAGTCTAGGAATGTCTGAGATGCGTGTCAGGATGCACGCACACCCACAAGTCTTCATTTTCTGGCTTAGTCCAAACAGGAACTAAAAAAATTGGCCAATATTTTTTCTTCTAATAATATCCTAGCTGACCAAAGAGACAACACCAAGAGACAGTAACATTACCTCTTCTGGCAGTTGATTCCCGGGTACTGCAGGGACACCAGTCATAAAGTCTGCAGTAATAAACGTCCTAATAACAACTGATCTTTGGCAGGATGGTTGTCGTAGTAATGGATCACGTCCAAAATGTAATGGTATTAAAATAACAGGCATCTGACTTATTTTTCTGCTGTAACCTGTAAATTAAATTGAAAAACAAAGTTAAGGAGTCTGAAAACATAGCTCTTTAAGTGACTAAGAAAAAGCAGACCAAACATTTTATTTCATATGCAAAATAAAGTGCTAGCCAAGGAAGACTGAGCACACCTGTTGTTGACACCCTTACCTTTTTTTGTGAGTACCTTATGTGCCAGGTAATCAGCCTGCCTAAGTTGACTGAGCACACCAGTTGTAAGATAGGTGGGAGTGACATCATTTATCGTTTCTTTCACCGCATCCCCAAATATAAAAGCAACTCTACAAATAGGAAGACAATTCAATCATTTTATTATCGAGTAGTAGAAATGCTCACTACATGAAACAACTTTTAGAATTTAGGTGGTGGTGTTGCACTTGATTTAACTCATCACCCTGGTATTTGTTTAAACAATAGACATTAACAATCTTTGAGTATCCATGGAGACTCCAATGCCAGTAATATGTAAACTTTCAGTATTTTAGGAAGTCCCAGTTAACACCCCAGTTCACTCCAAATGTATTACAGTAAATTTTAATATACAAAAAATGTAAAGTTATTGAATGCTCCACTCACCGATTCACATTGTGACATATACGAGGTATAATTTTAGCCAGTTTAATTAAATTAGGCCAGTTAGGTGACTTTTCACTAGATAAACCAACAACATAACTATAAGAACGGCAATCTCCCTAGAAAACATGTAAAACATCAACCTGTTAGTGTTGTTATAAGGTCCCATAAAAGTAGATTCAATTTCTATGTACATGTATTAATGGCAAGGACCAAAAAGAAAATAATTAACTTTTTTTTTTAAACATGTTGTAAAAATTCTGATCATCTTACTTGTACTCCTACTGTTTTTATTGGTAGTAACGTTGCCGACAGCTCATCAGTACTGCCGATATCCATCAGCATACGTTGTTCTGTTTCTGTCGTACTACTGTGCAGTCTACTGAGTAAGGCACTAGGCTGTGAAAGAAAATAACTGCATGTAGTATTGTATTACGGCCAATTATCTTATTTGTATTTTCACAGGCCTTTCCTTTCTTAAGTTACAACTCATGGACATTGGTAGCCACTATATCACAACGGTGGATACTGAATTATATTATTTAGTAACGCACTGGTTGAATATGTATCTGTAATCGTGTTCCAGATCAGAGTTAGCATTTTTAATGAGGAAATAGTCGTATCTAATTATTAAATTGATCAGATCTAGTAAACAATATCTTCAATATACCACATATAAATGTGAGTATCTGTAAGAGTGCTCCCGATATTTTGTTCAGATGCTGGTAACCACTACAAGTATACCGCTACTAACACTATATGCTGGAGGATATTAATATTCTCATTACACTATTTATGTAGGACACCAGTGTTCTCCCCAGACTTCATGTCAAGCATCACGGCCAATTTGCATAACAA